CCACTCCCCCTGCTTGTGTTCCCTCTCTCGCTGTGTCTCTCTCTCTGTCAAATAAATAAATAAAATCTTAAAAAAAGAAAGAAAAGGGTCAGCATAATAAGAAAACAGACTGGCACCAAGGCACATCATTTTGAAATTTCAAAACACTGAGAATTAAGAAAAGATTTTAGCTTTCTGACCCCTGTCTACTTTTCCTCCCCACAAAAGCCACAGACCTAGGAAGAATGGCCTTGGATTTTTAATCATGGGAAGTGTTCATCTGTTAGAAGTAGGTGCTAGAAAAGAAAAAGTGGTTGCCATTCAAAAGGATGGAGAGGTCAGAATTAGAGCAGGAAGCTGCTATTTTTTCCAACCTGTTAGTACTATTTTATTTTTTTAACAACATGCATAATTACTTCAACACAATTTTTTCAACAATATTGTCTCTTGATGGACATCTTTTTCTTTTGTTCAGAGATTTTATTTTTTGAAGATTTTATTTATTTATTTGACAGAGAGAGCACAAGCTGGGGGAGCGGGAGAGGGAGAAGCAGGCTCCCTGCTGAGCAGGGAGCCTGACACAGGGCTGGATCCCAGGACCCTAGGATCATGACCTGAGCCCAAGGCAGTCGCTTAACCAACTGAGCCACCCAGGCGCCCCTGTTCAAAGATTTTAAAGAGAAATTTTCTGGGATGACTGGGTGGCTCAGTTGGTTAAGCATCTGCCTTCAGCTGAGGTCATGATCCCAGGGTCCTGGGATCGAGTCCCACATCGGGCTCCTTGCTCAGCGGGAAGCCTGCTTCTCCCTCTGCCTGCTGCTCGCTCTCTCTTGCTCTTGCTCACTGTCTGACAAATAAATAAAATCTTTTAAAAAAATAAAATTAAAAAATAGAGAAATTTTATAATATAACTATTCAAAAATAAACTAAACTGCCTATCATTTCAAGTATTCATAAATAGCCTAATAGCCATCAGTCAGGGGTGCTTTAGAGATGGTGGGGGATTGGAATAAGTGATGTGTAAGTTCCTTACTATCACTTTAGCTTCTTGATTTTAAGCCTTTGTCCTTTTTCACACTAGTACCATTTATTCCTGCCCTTCTTCACAAATCCTGGAATGTTCTCTCCTATCTAATTGTATCTTTTTTCTTTTTCTTTTTTAAAGATTTTATTTATTTACTTATTTGGGAGAGTGCGAGCACGAGCAGGGGGAGTGTGGGCAGAGGGAGAGGCAGAGAATCTGAAGCAGACTCCGCACAGAGTGTGGAGCCCGACGTGGGGCTCGATCTCATGACCCTGAGATCATGACCTGAGTGGAAACCAAGAGTTGGATGCTTAACCAACTGAGCCACCCAGGCGCCCCTAATTATATCTTTTTTCTAAGACTGACTTCACAGCCACCTCGGTCAACATTGACTGGTGGATTCTTTGGCCTTATAATTATCCATATGCCTCTTTGGTCTTTTAATTATATATTGTTTTCTATTACTGCATTTAGGACTTGTTTTTCCAGTTCATTTAACAACTTCTTAAAACCAAAGAGTTTGGCTTATACTTTTTTAGAATTTAGCAGAGTACTTAATATATAATAGGTAGTTAGTAAATATTTAAGTAATTATTGAATGCCTATTACATATTCCACAATGGTGAAGTAAACATATAGACCTTTATGCAAGGAGCTTAGAATCTTGAATTAAAGGTTCAAAGTATTATGTGGCTGATCCCAAACTAAACTATTTCCTTGGTATACATTTTATATTATTGTAAGAAAATTCATATATAAAAGTTTAGGGCAAAATATAATGTACTTTCATAATTGCCACAGTTCAGATATTCATCCTTAATATCCTCATCAAGATTCCTTTTCTAGTCCCAAGTACATCAGATAATGTTTATTAAAAAAATTTTTTTAAAGGTTTTATGTATTTATTGAGAGAGAGAGCATAAGCAGGGGAAGTGGCAGAGGGAGAAGGAGAAGCAGGCTCCCCGCTGAGCAGGGAGCCTGATGCGGGGCTCCATCCCAGGACCTCAGGATCGTGACCTGAGCCGAAGGCAGACACTTAACCGACTTAGATACCCAGGCACCCCTTAAAAATTTTTTTAAGTATAATTTCTTTTTTTATTCTTTTGAACGAACTATTACGAGGACTATTCCATGCAGATATAGCACACTACTGAAATCCAAATCTCATCTTGTTCTCAGGTTTTCTCCCCTATTGGGTATTATAGATTGTATAATTAAATAGATGATTAAGATTCTGTATTCAAAATTTTGTTGTGTACATTTTAAAATTTTTATATAAGGCAAAGAATACCTATACTTAAGGCGCTATGACTATAAACTTCTGATTGTCTCCAGATAGAATGGCCCTAACTTCACATTTTTAATGTTTGCTGTGTTGGTAAAACTATTTGTTACTGAAGCCACAATTTCTAAAGAAAAGAATATTGTATGGGACTTAACAAAGAGCAATAGATTTTGTTGGTCTAATACTAGAAAGGCTGACTACTAAAGTAGATATGTACATGTGGTTTGGATATTTTCAAGCAGCACTGCCTTAATACACTAGCCACATATGGCTATTAAACACTTGAAATGTGGCTAGTATAAACAAGGAACTGATTTTTTTTATTTAATTTTAATTAATTTAAATTTTAAAACTGATACGGGTGCCTGGCTGGCTCAGTCGGTGGAACATGCAACTCTTGACCTCAGGGTTGTGAGTTCAAGTCCCATGTTGGGTATAGAGATTACTTAAAAATAAAATCTTAAGGGGTGTCTCTCTAAAATAAATAAATAAATCTCTTTTAAAACATTAAAAAAATTTTTTTAAATAGGGGCACCTGGGTGACCCAGTCATTAAGCATCTGCCTTCGGCTCAGGTCATGATCCCAGGGTCTTGGGATCGAGCCCCGCATCAGGCTCCCTGCTCAGCGGGAAGCCTGCT